AAAGGTTATGTATGTATATGTATGTGTATATATATATATATATATATATATATATATGTATATGTATGTGTATATATATGTATATATGTATGTATATGTATATGTATATGTATATATATCTCTATCTCAAGATTCTGTTACTGCGTTGTCTATTTCTCTCCTCAAATCCATTTAGTTTTCCTGAGTTTAGTCACCCAGAGCCCATTGTCTGCTTCAATCCATTTTCTCTGTTAATTGTATTTGAACAACTGTTTGTGGCTATGGCCAGCACACCAGCTGTTTTTCCCCAACCTGATTTTCCACATATGTGTAGTGGCTATGCTTGTAGCGGTGTGTTTCTGTGTGATTGGCCCCCCCTTTTTCTATCACCGATCAGTGTGTAACCAGTTTAACCTGCTGCTGTTGGACTCCTTTAGTCCCACTCTCTCGCTCACCAACAGCCAAATGATCCAACTGGAATAGTCTGGAGGACTTTCTGGTGCAGGATGAACTTCTTATGTTTGCGTTCCAGACCTAAAGATCTGAGATGAGTGTACTGTATCTTTACAGATGTGAAGGAGCTGGTGACGAGATGCCCCCTTATTAAAACTCTAGATTTAAGGTAAGCTTGTTGTGAACACGCTTTAACAACTTCACAGGGGGGACACACGTCAGATGTTGTGTTGTAAGTGTGTCGTGCAGTATTCACCCTGGTTCCTCTGCGTCACAGTGACAGCACCCTGCTGATGGCCGACAGCTTCCCCGTCCTCAAACAGCTCAAGTATCTGCTGCACCTGTCCCTAAGCCGCTGCTACCACATTCACCTCGCCGCCCTCACGTAAGCCTCTCTGCTTCTGTTACATTTGGGTGACTGAGCTCAGAAGTCTAAAACTGAACTGGTGTCATATTTTTCAGTGAGCTGGATAAGATGTTCCCCACGCTGTGCCTGCTGGACGTGTTCGGCGTCGTACAGAACAGCCACCTGCCCTCTCTGAAGAAGGAGATGCCTCACGTCTCCATCAACTCCAGGCCGTTCTCCAGCATCGCCCGGCCCACGCCCGCCAGCAGGTTCATCGGCTCCCTCAGCGACCGCACCATGTGGAACAGGAGGTGTCGACTGAGGTTCCAGCTGTAACTGCTGCGCCTCCCTCGTGTTTTAAGCTAAGTTAGTTTGTCGCCCAGTGTTTGATCCTGCAGTATTCCAACACGTACAGGGAGTCAGGCCCACTGTGCAGTGATGGAGCCATGTTTCAGAGTTTGTTGCTGCTACAGACGATGCTTTTAGTGTAGGCTGACATTGACGGTACTAAAGGTCACATACTGGACCAAGCCTTTAAAGTAGCAACCTCGAAGATTTTCATTTTAATGTCTGTTAAATCACTGTCTCTGAATGAGGTAACACAATGGTGATTGAGCCTAACAATATTTATATATTTGCAGTATTACAAACTGGTGTCTGTGGCAATGTCCCCGGAAAAAATGTATACACAGAAAATGGAACTAAGCACACGATGAACCCTTTTTATGGGTCATGGCATTTTAGGCTGCAACAATTGATTGTTACAATCCGTAACCAGCCTGAGATATGCTATGTGCTCAGCTATGTTGGAAAGACAACCAAATATTTAAAGATGTTTAAAATATAAAGTTGCATATATAGTCACATCTGAACTAATGTTAACAAAATGTTTGATTAGCTAATCCAGATTCATAGTTGGCTAGCATATAGCTAGCATTAGCTATCAGATGTAACTAGGTTACTAACGATTAATGGAGATTAGCTAGTGTTTTGCTCTGTAGCTACATTGCTAACGATTAATTTAGGTTAACTTAATGTGATTGTGTTGCTTTTATCTTTCAACTATCTTCAAAATGTGTCTTTTCAACATAGATTAGCCTAGCCTTGCTTAACTGTTATTAGGGCAAAGGGCAGAAAGGGGCGGAACTTAGGAAGGGTCCATTCAGAAAACTCCAGACTGCTAAATTCTAAGCATAATTCCCTTTTTTTTTTTCTTCTTTTTTTTTTTTTTCCTCAAATAGAAATTCTAAAGCACGTTTTTGCAAAGGTCTACAGACTTGGGAACGTCGTCACTGACTGCAAAGATAAAAATATTTTAGTACTTCACTCAGTTTAAATGAAAATCTTCAGAATGCCACTTCAAGTACTGAACATGCTAGCTGGTAATGTAGAAATGTATTGTTTTCTTTAGGAAAGTCCCATTTGGATGTTGAATCCAGTTCTTTTTGGAATGTTGGAATGTGTTAACACAAACTTTATGTGGATTGTTGAATCTGTTTTAGGTTCTAATAATGTGTTAATTTAAAATATTTTGTATGGGAAAGATGGTTTAAAAGACTCGACTGAAATGTTTATGAATATTTGTGACAATTGATTCCTTCGACATTTTAACAATACTGATGGCAGAAATGTGCTGTAATAATGAGAACAGCTGATTTTAATCCGTGAAGAGGTTTTAATGTGAAAGGATGTATCTGGATCTTGAATCCAGTCCGGAATAGCTGTGGGCGTTTCCTGTTGCTGAACACACTACGTTTATAAGCAGGTTATCATTCCTGTACATGTGACGTCTCTCCAGGTGCTTTTACGATGAGCTCATTATGTGTACGTGTGCTGTATGCTCCGTGCTCTATGTTTAACATTTCAATCAAATGTCACCCAGACTGAACTCTAATGGAACATGAGTTTTAACTTGTAGATTGTTCACTGTCCCTGAGTCTAAAAGTAAACCACTGAATACACACTGTTCTTTGTGTCTGCTTGATTTTATAGGTTGAATTAGGTCTTGGATATTTGTCAAACTGAGACACAATGTGAAGGTTAAGCACGAAAGTTCATTCTTGACCTTATAACTAACAATTATTTTTATTATCGATGTTTCCCAAAGCTCAAGCAGATGTTGCGTCTTTACTTTTCAGTTAACAGTAGTTTCAGTTGTACAGTAGCACATGAGACAGAATCTGTGAAATAAGGTTAAAAAATGTTTAACTACTGAGATACTATTAATTGTTGCAAGCTTTGTTTTAATATTTGGGAAAAGAGCAAAGTACAGTAACAGTTGGACAGTTTGTATTGTGCTTTTAACAGTTGAAACTCCACATCAGAGACCATACGAAGTATAACATTTAGAATTATACATTTGTTATAGACAAGGTGTCTTATAATACACATTTACTGTGTGTGTAGATAGATAGATATCACATTGCCTTTATTTTAAAAAGTTGTTAAAACCAAAGATATGACACTTATCTTTGTTATTTCCACCTAACAAGCTACCCAGCGAGGCGCCATTTTGGAGTGACATCATTGCTTAAGTAGCTGGGTGGGTTGGTTGAGGTTGAATTTTCGTGGGTTTGAAATTGGGTGAAGACTGAGTAGAGAGACCTGTTAAAGTCATGAGTCCACTGGTGGAAAAGAGGGGAATAATTTATTTCCACTATAAATCTATCCATACATAACACAGTGACTAGTTTGGTCATGGGTTTCATACACTTTCTGTAATAAAACATCTACAAGCAAAAATCATATGGAATCATATGTGTTTTTTTTTTTGTTTTTTTTAATTAACGACTTCTCATGAGATGACAAAACGGTTTTCTTCCATTGCGAACGTGTAAATATTGGTATGCTTTCCCCTTAACAATGGAGCAGAGTCTTAAAAGGCGCCTGCAGTAAACATCCTACCTTCTGCAGCAGGAAAGCAAAATGAGGATGATGACGGACCACAACGGAGCCAAAAGGATCAGGCTCCAGAATTCGGAGAAGAAACTGCAGGTGGAGCAGAGCTTGAGATTCAATCATGAGAATGAACGGCTTTGCATAACAAAGATAAAGAGCAGCTCATCAAGAGCTCAAAAACGCTGCAAGGTCTCGTTGCTTCTAAGACACTCAGCGTCAGGCTGAACAGCTTCAGGTCGACTTTCTCAAGGGAGAACTGGAGGAAGTCAGGCTCGAGCTTGTGGAGCGAGTCTCCAAGGACCTGGAGCTGGTTGAAGGTATGAAATTAAAAAAAGAAGACCTTGACCTGGAATTGGAGGAGACAAACTTCCTGCTGTTGGAGGCCTGTTGGAGCTTCTGGAGGAAGTAGAGAGGCAGCTGCAGGCTCAGGAGGAGGCCAATATGGAGCTGGAGACAAAGATGGAGGTGCTCAGACAGCAAATGAAGCTCGGAAAGCGGGCTGATCGCGAAGGCCCACTGTCTGAATGATGTCACTGAGGTCGTCGGAGAAGCCGAGGCTCCAGAAGAAGTGAGGAAAAAAATAAAGAAGTCTTCCCTACTGAGGTGGTTCAAAAAGTTCATTACTCCAAAACCCTGCCGCAAATACAACCTGATCTGTGAACCATAAACACACACAAGACAGACAGTTAAAACACACACACACACACACCACACACAACACCACACACACACACCACACACACAACACACACACACAAGCAACACACAACACTGTAACAGGCAGTTTCCCCACAGACATAATATATGTCACATTTAGATAATCAGAGATTGCACACTAATGATTCCATGAAGGTACATGAGATGGGCCAGGCGAATACTGGGACATTAGAGATCAAAGGCTCTGTTAATAAGTTGAGGATTTAATGCAATGTTTCTATTTGGTGGCCAGCAGCATGTTCGAAATGGATGTATCCCCAGATTGAAGATGAGGTAAAGGCAGGCCAAATCTTGTGAGCACGAATTTCCCAGAATGACCTTTATAGCATCGCAGTGAAAGAGCGTAGTTTAGGAAACATGAATCAACCCCTCATAGACACAGAAGGAAGCAAGTCCACTCCTATCTATTCTAACCCAAAACAAAGGAACGTGTACGAGCGATAGTGGGATGTTGAGGAATGACTTCTGCATGGAAATAATAAAAAACATGGAAAAAGAGAACCGTCCAACCCATGAACGCCAAA